ACGTCAGGCGAATAAACCTCTTGTTCCAGTGACCGCATATTCTTTTGAACTGCTTCCTGGAACTCGCATATTCTCTACTATTAGTAAGCTTACTGTTCCGTACTGGTGGCTTCCATACGAGCCGTAAGTTGGGCGGGTACAATCAATCCAAGTATGATTAAATTCACGGCGCACGGTGAGCCTCGTAGCTCACTTGTAGAGCGTTGGCTGCGCAAAAGTCTTCCCTGCTGTGTGGGTTCGACTCCCACCGAAGCCGCAATTTTTTTCACTATTGGGTCAACTGAATTAAGCAAATCTGCCAAACCCCCTTAACAGTTCAAACATCAGCACAATAGTTTACTATACATTCCTAACTACTTTTTTCCTTATAGTAAGCATGTTTTATTGTTCACATATTCAGCGTTTACCAACCCATTGCACTCCACACACAGAAATCTTTAGCGCCCTGCGGCTACTTTTAGTCATATTTGTTTTAGTTTAATTTAGTTTTTAATTTATTATTTAGTTTCATTATTTTTTAGTTCAGTTTTCCGTTTATTTAATTGTGTATAGCTTAGCTTATCCTAGTTTAGCTAGTTTAGTTAATATTTAGTTTTATGCTAGTTTATATTAGTTTTCAGTTTATTTTAAGTTATTTTAGTTCGTTTCGTTTTGTAAGCGAAATGTGGTTGCTTTTCGACTTAAAAAAGGTGAAAGAAACCTATTTTTCATGGTTTAACTTTGGTCTCGAAAATTCGCAGTTTTTTGTCCAGTTCCGCATTTTGCGCCGACCCGTATTACAGAAGCCTGGGGGTTTTGGTTACTGTGGTAGTGTGTGAACGGAATCCCTACTCGGCCCGCATCGCGCGTTGGGGCTTCAAACCACGACTGAGTTTCTTTACTGGTCTTGCCTCTTCTTCCTCTATACGGAACTGGGCGTGATAATTGTAGTTCTCTGTGCACACTCACGGCTTAGACCCCTACAAGCTTTCTGTGCACCTTAGTTGGTCGGTAACGAAACGTCCCTAGTCTTGTCAAGATGAATACTTGCATTTTTGTTAATGCCATACAAGGTAAAACGACAGAAGTGAAAAAATGGCTGGATGACCTCAAAGCTAAA